TTGACCCAAATTCGCAAAAATAAATCGACGTAAAAATTTCCAGATTTACGGTATATCATTTTGTAGGATATCCTAATGCATGAATATATTTTAAATTTCAAAGAATTTCGTCAAAAAACAAAGGAGAAATAGCCATTTAAAGTTTCAGCCAATCAGATTGCAGCACACGTGCATGCGCGTGATTTCATGATTTTTTTCTATATCATTTTGTAGGATATCCTAATGCATGACTATATTTTAAATTTCAAAGAATTTCGTCAAAAAACAAAGGAGATATTGCCATTTAAAGTTTCAGCCAATCAGCTTGCAGCACGCGCAAATGCACATGCTTTCATGAAAATTTTTATATATCATGTGGTAGATCTTCATAATGTAAGACTATGTTCAAAATTTCAAAGGATTATGACAAGAAACAAGAAAGATATTGAGACTTTAATTTCAGCCAATCAGAGCAATGCGCACGTGCATTCGCGTGAGATCTTGCTATTTTGACCATGCTATCTTGTCCATACTACTAATGTATCCTTACATTATGAGTTTCAAAAAAATTCATCAAAAAATAGAAAAGTTACGGCAATATCCATTATATTGGTAATTTCACATGTTGCACGTGCGCGCTCTTGCAAGCACGTGCGCGCAAAATGACCTTTGTTTGGCAACTCTACATAACATGCCTACTGACCCTAAAAAGGTTTTACCTAAGTCGGATGTGTAGTTTACAAGATCACTCGTGGACAAAATTTTCCCAGGAAGAAGAAAAATAATAATAATAATAATAATAATAATAATAATAATAAGAAACAGAGTAAAACCAATATGTTCCCCAACTTCGTTTGGGGAACATAAAAATCAAAACTTTTATTCACCAGTGACCACATTGAACGAAGTCTTTAAAGGTGCTTAAATTTCTAAAATTTAAAGTACTGGTTTTCCTGCTGGCAATTATTGTTGCCAGCCAGGAATAAAACTTCTAAAATAAATGCCACATTTCTTACAGAGTGAGAAGTACTGTGGGAGGAAAGTTGATGAATATGTAAACTTTACAAATAACATGGAGAAATGCATTTTCTTCAATAAAAGCAAAATAAAAAAAAAAGATTTGAGAATTACTAGAGTATATTTAGGGCTGTTAGATACCAGTCATTAGAAAATAAGACCTCTATAACTTAGTGTAAATGTTATTTTATTATTTTTTTTATTTATTTCACATATTGACTGCTTTAATTTGAAAATGAATACTAGTAACAGCAATTAGTTGATTGTTGTGCCAATTTGCTCCAAGATTTCCCAACCTCGAAAACTGCATATTCTTTGAGGATCATACTTTCTTATATGATTGCCCATATTTCTTAAAATAATCACTGGTTTTATATTTACAGGCTACTTGAATCTTCAATTTATACTCTTTTTAGTTAAAATCTGAAAAAAAATCCATTAACTTGAATCAAAATTCACTTAAACCTATATGAATATATCCCTTACTCAGATAAGTATACAATGACTTTTCACAACATAACGGTATATATATATATATATAACATTGACTTTATCATTGAGTTATTGTTTAAATTAATTTTTTTTTGCATAATATTAAACTAAAATTGAATTTTTAAAGCGATTGATTTATTTTTTTTCATCAAAGTGCAATATTTTCTCTGAAAAATATAGTTAAAATGCTAAAAAGTCATTTAAAAATAATTTTTTTTTGAAAATTTGGTTTCCATGGCAACATAAAATTTTAGATTTTTAAAAAAAAATAGTAAATATTAAAAAACACAACATGTGCTATATATTTGCCAAATTTCAAGCAAATTGGTTGTCAACAATTTTAGATATTTGCATTTTAGTACACCATTGTGATAATTTTGTTGATATTACAAAACAACTCAGTCCTGAGGTTACAGCGCACGTAAAACAAGTCAGCACACAAAGGGTTAATACCCAGGAGCAGAGAAGAAGATTTTCAAAGAAATAATGCATTTTCACTACCTACTTATTTAGCCCCACCCTAGCACTGGAACCCCTGACCCCAGGGCCATGCATTTCACAATTTTGGTAGAGGACTCATTGCTGGTTACAATCATGCAAACAGTTTGACTACTTGATGTCCAGGAGTAAAGAAGAAGATTTTTAAAGATTGCATTAATTTTAGTGGTTTTGGCCTCACCCCTCAGGCCCCAAGGGGGCAGGGATCATGAAATTCACAATTTTTGTTCCCCTTCACCAATAGATGCTTTGTATCAAATTTGGTTGAAATTGGTTCAGTGGTTGCAGAGAAGAAGCTGAAAATGTTCAAATGTTAATGGACAACGCACAACGCACGACGACGGACGAAAACAGATAGCAATAGGTCACCTGAGTTTACTCAGGTGACCTAATAAAACAGGGAAAACCTCATGTCTTATTGAAAAAACTAAATTAAATGTGTATTTAAAAAAGATTTAAGCAGGTGTTTTATAAAATGCAAGCCTTCAGTGAATGCAAATATCACCCAGGGTTGACCTCACTTCAAAACAAACATCAGTTGCAGACAAAAATGTTCATTAATCTTCATGTAACAGATAAAGATAAGCCTCTAAATTTTCTGCAGCAGGCTAGATAATTAATCCCAAGGGATTAATAGTACTGCTCTCTCATCCTTTTCCTGTATATTTACAATAAGAACTTTTTTTCTCTCTGACAGAATGGTGTTATTACCTGATTACCTGTTATAATTAACAGCATTAAGGCAGCAAAATAAATAAATAATTAAAAAATAAAATAGTAATAATAAAAAATGATATCTTAATATATATCTTGATTTTAAAATTCAATGAAATTATCATAAATCATTGTGTACAGTATTTTAACCAAAATAAAGTATGAACATTATTTTAAATCCATATTTCAGAGAATGTACACATCATTCAAAATTGACCTTAACTTCAAAACAAAGTTCATTTGCAGACAGAGGCAGTACAGTTATAAATCTCAATGTGACAGATAAAGATAATGCTTATGATTTTCTTCATGTAGAAGGTTAATTAATCCCAAAGGACAAATTGCACAGCCTTCCAGGTTAAAATGGTAAGTAAACATTCTCGGCAGTTATCTCTCTTTGCCCATTCATTCTTATGCATAGTTAAGGAATCTACCCCACCCCCCAGCTCCAAACCAGAAGACATAGAGAACCAAACTTAGCAGCAAAATATGTATTTCTGCCTACTGAACTATCATACCAAATTTGAACTTGATTGGGCAACCATAAAAAAAGTTATTAGAAAAAAAACAGAAAATCTGTGGATGGAAGCATGACAGACGGACAGACAGAAAGCTAGACAGACGGACAGACAGTGATTACTATAGGGCACCCGCAAATCCTTGCGGGGCCCTTATCATAACCACTTGTAAACAAAGAAATATGACACACCACTAAACAACCTCTCTGTACCATGGTAATTATAACCAGCTGTAATCAAAAAGAAATATGACACACTACTAAACAATCTCTCTGTACAATGGTAATTATAACAAGAGGCCCATGGGCCACATCGCTCACCCGAGCATTGTGGCTAGAAAAAAGTAGAAATTGGTTTACAATACTACAGAAAAGTGTAAAACCAAAAGTTTGGCCCCGCCCTACCCCCGGGGGTCATGATTTGAACAAACTTGAATCTACACTACCTGAGGATGCATCCATATAAATATGAGCAATTATGGCTTTGCTATTCTTGATAAGACGATTTTTAAAGAGTTTTCCTATATATTTCTATATAAAACTTTGGTCGGCCATTGTGGCCCCGCCCTACCCCCGGGGGTCATGATTGGAACAAACTTGAATCTACACTACCTGGGGATGCTTCCATATAAATATGAGAAAATATGGCTTTGCTGTTCTTAAGAAGATTTTTAAAGAATTTTCCTATATATTTCAATATAAAAATTTGGTTGGCCATAGTGACCCCGCCCTACCCCCGGGGGACATGATTTGAACAAACTTGAATCTACACTACCTGGGGATGCTTCCATATAAATATGAGCAATTATGGCTTTTCTGTTCTTAAGAAGAAGATTTTTAAAGAGTTTTCCTATATATTTCTATATAAAACTTTGGTCGGCCATTGTGGCCCCGCCCTACTTCTGGGGGTCATGATTTGAACAAACTTGAATTTACACTACCTGGGGATGCTTCCATATAAATATGAGCAACTATGGCTTTGCTGTTCTTAAAAAGAAGATTTTTAAAGAGTTTTCCTATATATTTCAATATAAAAATTTGGTTGGCCATAGTGACCCCGCCCTACCCCCGGGGGACATGATTTGAACAAAATTGAATCTACACTACCTGGGGATGCTTCCATATAAATATGAGCAATTATGGCTTTGCTGTTCTTAAGAAGAAGATTTTTAAAGAATTTTCCTATATATTTCTATATAAAACTTTGGTCGGCCATTGTGGCCCCGCCCTACCCCCGGGGGATATGATTTGAACAAAATTGAATCTACACTACCTGAGGATGTTTCCCCATAAGTTTCATTTTTCCTGGCACAGTGGTTCTTGAGAAGAAGATTTTTAAAACATACCACCAAATTTTCACTAATTCTCAATTATCTCCCCTTGAATGAGGGCGTGGCCCTTCATTTGAACAAACTTGAATCCCCTTTACCCAAGGATGCTTTGTGGCAAGTTTGGTTGAAATTGGCCCAGCGGTTCTTGAGAAGAAGTCGAAAATGTGAAAAGTTTACAGACAGATGGACAGACGGACAGACGGACAGACAGACAGACAGACGGACGCCGGACAAAATGTGATCAGAAAAGCTCACTTGAGCCTTCGGCTCAGGTGAGCTAACAAGCTGTAAACAAAAAAATACACCAAAGAACAATCTGTCTGTACCATGGTATTTATCACTGATTGTAAATGAAACAGAAAGAAATATGATATACCACTGAAAAATCTCTCTGTACCATGGTATTAATAACTGGCTTTAATAAAAACACTTCATCCATTCAGTGTCCTTACCTTTGACCAACATTCTACCAAAGTAATCTATAGCAGGTTCTTCTTCCGAGAACTGAAAAGGTGTGGCATCGTGACAGAGTCCGTGGAGGGCTGCAGACTTCCCTGCCATGCTCTCTATCATCATTCCTGTCGACAAAGCAATAAGGATTATACTAAGAGGCAGTAACTATAAAGCACTTTATTTTGACAGGTCAAAAACAATTTTTCATGTGCATTCTCTTCAGATGCAAAAATAGCAAATTTGCACGTAACAGTTGATAATGATGTCATAAATTTTCAAATTTTACAAATACAATTTAACAACAATAAAGTTGTGCCTAAAACAAGTCCGAGTAGTTCCTTACCTATCGTCATTCTGGAGGGATAGCCGTGGGGATTAAATAAGATGTCAGGGGTCATCCCACTCTCTGTAAATGGCATGTTTTCTGCTGGCCACATCATACTGAGGGTATTAATAATAACATTTCTTATAACTTCGATGTTTTGATATGCAAAGTTTAAACAGTTCAGAATATAATTAAAATCACATAGAATATTAAATTTGTATACATTATTATAAATCAACTATATTTTTGCTTGCATTGACCTTTAAAATTTTGAAGTGATATGTTACAAGAATATCTTAACAACAGAAAAAGAGAAGTCTGATTTTATTGCAAAACAAACCATGTTATAGGTATTTTATTATGTAAGGTAAATTTTAAAAATGTTGCAAAAAATGAAGTATTTTGATTTATGTAAATATCCATAAAGAAATAACTTCAATGTATTTTAAACATTAAAAGGTTTTCTCCAACTACGTACCTACAGATTCCTTTCTGTCCGTGTCGACTGGAGAATTTGTCTCCTATGATGGGGTTTCTCTGTAAGGAAATAATCATGCTGGATCTTATCTTCTGTCTCAAAATTCTGATTGTTACGGAGGAAATTACTTAGCTCTAAAGTAAAACTTTTCTGCCTTTGTTACACTTACACATTTATGTGCATTTTAACGACTGTACAAACATTAACTGAGACTGGTCAATTAACTCAATTCTTCTGTATTCATTTAAATTGCCAACTGTAGAATTATATGCTGATTGTGAAGAGACTTTGTGGTTGGCTGATAGTAAAAAACGGCTTCTAACATCCCTGAGAAATACAGCTTACATTAGAGTTATTGTCATAGTAACAGTGTGACCTCACCTTGATTCTGAGAAGGACACAGACTTTACAGAGCTCCTGTGTCCCCGTGTTATCCCCCAGGGCCTTGATCTGCTGGACGTAGGCTGGTTCATCTGACATATAATTCTGTGTACGAGACTGGCCAGTCTGTATGTTGATTACACTAAAACAAATAGAGGTCTCTGGTGAGACTGTAGCCCTACCGGCTGTTCCTTATAGGACTATTATCACCTTAGTTTGGACTTTCAGTAGGGCTTTGCATTCTCGGCCCTACATAATGGCAAATATTAGTAGATTCTCATTGTTTAAGAAATTAATAACATCATGAACTTTAAATTGTTGTTGACAATGATGAGATGACTTATGCCCCACCTCTGTGCCATGAGAGAACTTTTAATTGGCTATTTACTACACCAGTTGACATTCGGCCGAATTTCTATCCTACGTATATTTCAACAGTGAAGGAAAGCTGTGTAAATATCAGATGCTAATTAGGTAACGTCGAGAATGCCACGCCTTACTAAAGTCCTAACTAAACTGATAATGGTCCTAATAGAAGAAGTTAATACTTACTTTTGGTAAAACATCACAAATTAATGTAACCAATTGTTTTAACAAATGTGTACCTAGTTCTAATATTGAACTGATAGATATTAGGTCTTTTTGAGGAGTAGCTTTTTAAAAAATCTTTTAAAAATTTAATTATTCTGAAACATCTATCAAAAGACTGATACCAATTAAAATGACTTTATTATATCCTAATTAACAATGACCTGTAGAATGGGTCCCCCTTCTGTAGGTAGGTTCCTATGTGAGGTAGACCCTCCTTTGTCAAGCTCCCCCCTAAAAAATGGCTGTTATCGGGAAGACAACCAAACACCTCTAAGGGGCGGCCATGATTTCTATCTCCCTTGCTACAGAGGTCTATGATCTGCAACAAAAAATGAATTGGTGAGTTACAGACTATAGTTAATACACAAGGCAATTTAATCTTTGTGCTCAACATTCATGGAGGCGATATTTACCAAAATATTTTGAGTACACTCCAAATAATGCCCTGCATTTTGTTTACATTTAATTTTTTCAACCTGTTTTAAAAAGACTGTAATCAAGACACTGTAATACAAGACCTACATACTTCTATTTAAAAAAAGGCTTACTTGTGATTTATATACACTCGCATGTGCAAAGCCTCGCTCAAATGAAGATTTATTTAGAATCATGGCATCCTCCATATCATATCCCTAAAAATATAGTATAGAATTAATAAACAAGCTAACTATTTAAATTATACAAACTTGTATTTCAACAAGAAAATTAAATGAGATCTCTCTTCCATGTTTTCTGTGTATGCCTAACTCGTCACACTCTTGTTTGACATGTCCAATTCATCTCCATCTTGTCTGATAAATCTCAAGCTAATTTCAAAAATCAAATATGATTGAAGTTGTTGAAAGTATCTAAAGTCATTACGCATAAATGTATGGGGAAAAAAGTTGAATCTTAATTCTCAAAAACAATTCATGTGTATATCATCAAATTTTCTTGTACGTACAGTATAGGACATGACAGCGACTATAGCATTGGTTCCCAGTGGGTAGTTGTCCATATTGTAGTGGTCGTACATGACTGGCCGCACCACGGGAGACTGAGGGGTCTGAAGTCTGTACAGCTTATTGTCCGAGCGATGGTCCAGCGCATGAAGGGGGGTGCCCATAGTCTGCTTACCCATCTTACAGGAGAAAAGTTTTGAAATAAATGACATGCTGCATCTATTGTACAATGGTTTTAATTTGTATGAGTAAATGTGGGTAATTTATTTGTTTTTACCCATCTAGAAGAGAACATTCTTTGTTATTTTACCAGAATCTGATACACATATTCCAGCAGAGGGATGTGCGATTTCATTGGTATACCGGTATATCGCAATTTTTTGTTGCGTGATACGTATCGTGATACAGAGACCTAAATACTGGTATTCAGGTACATATTACAAAGTCCAGAAATTATTCATTTATTTGTTCAATCTTTCAAATTACAATTATAGAAAGTCTAAACAATGTTGTAAAAGGTGAAAAGAACGGCATCTTACCATCCAAACATGATTAATTTTATGGACATTAAAATTTCAAAAAAGTTAAATTTTGTTTTTCTAACATATTTTTAAGAAAAATAATGACAATTCATTAAAAATCATTGTAAAAATTGCTTGTAAAAGTATGATATTATCATGATATTTTGGGAAAAAATCGTGATATATCGCGATACGAATTTTTTTGCGATACCCATCCCTATTCCAACATAAAAATCTGGTTGAAGTCTGAGAATGGGGTTACCCAGATAGATGCTAGTTTTTACCTGACATTGATACATGTTTCTAGGGCTCTGGTTAAAGTCTGAGAATGGAGTAAACTGTGCTACGGTAGACAGCATGGCCACTTCACTCAGCTCTCTGTGGGTTGTTACCTACAAATGTGTGAAATGAAATCTGACGTGTGCAGATATCTGAAGGACAATTAAAGTCCTATTTCTGTTTGAATTTCATCATTTACTTTGACATGTACACTTTTGAAAACTTACCCCTTGTTTGGCCTCTTCTGGGGTAATACAGATATCCATGTACACCTGTTCAAATGTCCCTATCCATTCTTTACTGTCTGTTGCGAGGTTCCACACAGGGCGAATCATTCGGGCAGTGCTGGTAAAGATGTACAGGCCTGGGAACTGGCTGGCAAACTTTGTTTTGGGGACCAGGCAAATCTCAGACATTGGAGGGATCTGGAAAAGGATGAAAAACTAAAGGCCTGGCATCAGGATCAGGAAGCAATCTACAGTCAAAAATTCCTATTTTTTTATTTTAAAAAGATTATTTATTTCAAAAACACCTAGCATTTAAAATTGAACAACATGAAAGCAATAGAAATTTGCAACTCCTTTAAACTCCTTCTGTTTTTCAAATGCTATTTAAGATTGATTGTGAAACTGACCCTGTTTAGACCTTTGACCTTCATGAACCTGAGCCTCTTTTCCACATTCTGTGCAATATCTTCATGGATGTATCCCAGAATCCTCCCATCTAGGAATACTGTAAAGCACTGAGACATCTGTCCCATTGTTGGAGCATGACATGGAGTTGTTCCCAGAGAGAACAAAAGGTCAGCTACATGTGAATTACTATAATGTGTGGTCACAGCCTACAAAAACAAAGATTAAGTAATTTAAACAAATATTGCAAGATGAAATTGACTTTCTCTCTAGCAATTTGACTTTAAAAAGGTTTTTGGTTGGCCGATAGTAACATATTGAAACAAATTTTTTATGAAGAGTAAATGAAAGAGAGAGAGAGACTGACCCCAGCTAGGGCTGTGAGATGGTTCAGCAGACCACAGGGACTACCATCTGGAGTGTGTACAGGACAAAGAAAGCCTGCAATGGTCAAAGTTTAAATAAATATATAGGAAACAGTTGTAGAAATTTTAAATTCAGTTTGACTTATCCATGGTATTTGAGATATTGAAGCACTGTGCTCCCTACCCCAAGCCTCTGGGAGAAGTTTACGGACGGCTGTTGTTCTCATCTCACTGAAGAACGACCCTCTGTGTACACAGCGGAAATGTGAGATGTACCTGAAGAAGTTCAGCTTGTCTGCCACCACAGTCAAACCAGTGGCCTGAAAAAAAATACAAGAAAATAGCAGTAGTCTCTAACTTGCCATATATATCTGCTCTAATAAATCACAGAGTCTAAATATATTGCTCACCATCCCCCAACCCCCACCCCCCTATGTTAATTAAATTTTTAATGAACTTACTTGCATCAAACCAAGTCCACTCTTGGAAATAATTGAGCCACTTGCCATAAAATATTCCATTGCCTTGGTTATATTTACTGTGTGTCTTAAAGCATCATTCATGGTCACTGAAATGATAAGAAGTTCAGAATTCAATTAATTTGGTATATTTGTCTTCTTTTTCCTCTCAACTAACAAACCTGCATTGTTGATCATTTTTCAAATCCTATCAGATATCTATATATTCACATTCAGTTAATATAAGATATTTCTGTCAGACAACTCAATACTTACATTCCTTCATGAGATATTTCTGTCAGACAACTCAATACTCACATTCGGTTATGAGATATTTCTGTTAGACATCTTAATATTCATATTCAGGTTTGAGATATTTCTGTCACACTCCTCAATACTTACATTCAGTTAAGAGATATTCCCGCTCTTTGTAATTTTTGGCATTTCTTTCAATTGAATTTTTGACTGACACCATCCAATCATGCAACTTTTCCTGAAAAGTGAGTGTAATTTGTTGTCATCAACATTGTCAAAATGAAATCATGTCCCTAAAAAGCAGGGTGTCTACTGACAACTCTAATGAGAGGTTCCCAAGAGAAAATCATTCAGTTATTGTGCTTCTAAAATTTCTAAAATTGGACAGACAATCAAAATAAAATCACATTTCTGCTATGGTAATACACATGGAAGGTGAAACTACTTGTATTTCATTTTTTAATGACATTACATAAATTCTTGCATCTGATAAGAAGTACAAGAGTATATATATATTTTTTTTATGTTTATATCCTGGCTGGTAAAAATGTTTCTACAATTTATGTGATATTTTTAAATGTACATGTACTTAAAAGTCATTTTTCGTTACTGTATTTTTTTTTTTGGCATTTCTCTGTTTACTGTATGGCTAGTCATGTTTAAAAAAGGGACTTTGAACAATTCTCCTGAATTTCAACATGTGCATTTCTCTGTTTCTGTTTATTCTCATATCAGTACTGTTCTCAGAAAGGTTGCTCAATTACATTCTATTCCACTCTACTTTCTGCTCTGGTGATGAAACTTAGTGGTTTTCAATTTTTCAATCACCAAAGTTAAAACAACGTCAATTTGATTTCCTTATATTTATCCTTACCAACTATAATTTTCAAAACTTTTCGTACATTTGATTTACAAAGAGCAGTCAAAGAAGTCTGTTAATGTTCTCCCGTTACTTACCTTAAGGATCATCCCATACAACTGACCCCCCAGTAAGAGCTCCTGGAACATTGGATTGTCAGCGCTCTCTGCTGCACACTCCCCTTTAGCAAAGGCAAACAGTTTTCTGGTCATATATCTACAGAAAAGGAAGTCCAAAAAATAGAGTGCAAATAATTTCTGAACTAGTCAAAATACTAATAACCCCTTAACTAGTGAAAATCCAAAAAGCTTTCTGGTTATATAATCTGTATCTTAAGAGAATTTTAAAATGTATCAAATTAAAAACACTTATTAAATTATTTTTAAAACAGACAAAAAGAACTCAATGAAATAGCTTAATAGTTATGTATCTATCAAAAACATGAGCCACATAAGAGGTTTTTTAAAAAAAAAATGATTTGTACGTGTTTGTTGTTCTCTAAAAAGTTTGAAAGAAAAGAACTAAATGCTATAAAGAAGACACTGATTTGGTAAAATTCACATGAATTCTTGTTAAGTCAAAGTATTCCACTGCTTGCAGACTTACATTAAAAGATTAAACTTGTCCACATTGTTTTCTAGATGTACACATACGCTTTGTCTACAAAAGAAATCAAGTAATGAAAGCAAGAAAACTTAAGACTAAAAGACACTAACATACAGTATCAAAATTTTTTGTCAGGCTACTGTAGATTCCTCATATTTCGCGAGTACTTTTTATCGCGAATGGGCTCTTCAACAGCAAGTCGCAAGAATAAGAATTTTCACGAATGGACGGTTTGTCGAAGTTTTAACATACATTTCAGCACCATAAAAATAAAGGCGAATAATTAAATTTTGTGTTTGGTGCTTCTTGCGAAATTACGCAATAATTAATTCCACGCGTATATTTAGGAATCTACAGTATTTACTTATAATAATGAAATTACATTAGCACTAAGAACTCACTTGAGCATGTACTCCCCTACTTCCTCATCTGAGTACCACTCAGGCAGACTGAGTTTGACTCTGAATAACTCCCCTATGTATTTCAGTACTGTTTTCTGTGTGGTCAGATTTTCTGATAGAGCATGTCGCAACATGGCTATCACACAACTGTGTATGAAAAAGAACATTAGTATTTATTTGCCAAAATAGATTTGTATAGTCTTAAAGTGACATCACAATTGTCTTTCTGAACCTCTGCATAGGCCAATGTAATTAATGGGAGTCCTTAACCTAGTTGCATACTTTATATATTTATTTTCCCAGTGTAACAAGAAATACACTTTCTCCTCTTACCCTTTGTAAAATGAGTCTTGTTCTTTATCCCTGGTCAGTTGGTCGTAAATAAATTTATCTGTCACATTGTGTAGACCCTACAAATTTATAGAATTATAGCATTTCTGTTTCTAGGCAACTTAAATGTACTGTCAAAGACTGCAATATTATCGTTAAAAATATCCATCAACATAACTCCAACCATTCCCATGACTGAATAAAGTGCGCATAATGTGTTTACAAGTATACTTATTGATATTGATTTGTCTTCAGATCTAGATCTGCTAATATCTTCAATGTTTACTTTTATGAAACATTTTTTTTACTCAAAGCTATCAAATTTGACCTACTTAGAAACTATTCTTGAAGTTTTTAGTGAACCTATTACCTTAAGGATAATTATGACTGGTACAAAGAACATTTCTTTAAGGTGACTAAAACACAGCGTGGCCATTCCATTGGACAGGTAGTGTAGGACATTATTCTACAATAAAAATAAAGCTTTAAATGGAACACATAATCTCATTCATTATTATAACAGTAACTTGATCCGAAGTGCCGTATCACGTCGAGTAGACAGGTGCGGATCATTAGATCTAACGAGACACAAAGCGCCGAGTTTGATCTGATGATCTGCGTCTGTCAACGAGACGTGATACGGCTCTATGGATCAAGTTACTAATATAATGATAAATTTATTATATACCCCCTTATAACAAGCCAAATATAGCAAAATAAAAACTTAAAGATCAATTGGGTAATATTTATCCATAAAACAAAGCATAATAACAAGGGACTTTCTAACGCACAAGAAAAATAATGTCATGTTTCTGTGTACTACATCATCAGTTTCAAAGAGTGGTGATATGGATTCAGAAAACTACAGTGTGGTGATCCGGAAAGTCGGATCACGATGTCACATGATAGCGTAAAATCAACAGTAAGATTGAGTGATACACATTAGGTATATAATAAAGTAAAGAGTTTGAGATTTACATATGAATGGCAGGTCCTCCCCCTCCTCATGACCTTAACCCCCACCCACCACTCCTACTGTTGTCCCAACCTCCCTATTTTTTAACTTACCACTACCTGTTTTTCCTTGTTTTTGACCTCACCCCCAAAATGTTTTCTCACTCCTCCCTCTTTTGACCCTCCACTCCCCTCTCCAATGTTGTCTAACCCCTCCCTGTTTTTGACCTTACCACTCCAATGCTGTCCCAACCTCCCTATTTTTGACCTTACCAGTACCTGTTTTTTCCCTTGTTTTTAACCCTCACTCCCCAAATGTTTTCTCACTCCTCCTTGTTTTTGACCTTACCACTCCAATTTTGTCCCCCCCCCCCCTGTTTTTGACCTTACCACTCCAATGTTGTTCCCCCTGTTTTTGACCTTACCACTCCAATGTTGTTACACCCTCCCTGTTTTTGACCTTACCACTCCAATGTTGCCCCCCCCCTGTTTTTGACCTTGCCACTCCAATGTTGCCCCCCCCCCCTGTTTTTGACCTTACCATTTCAATGTTGTTTCCCCCCCCCCCTGCTTTTGACCTTACCACTCCAATGTTGTTCCCCCCCCCCCTGTTTTTGACCTTACCACTCCAATGTTGCCACCCCCCTATGGAATGCCATCACTGCCTTATAGCATACAACTTTGCATTTATTATGTCAATTTATCATTACGTGATGTGAACATATCTTTATGTTATGTCATTTTTTATGATATGATGTGAAAATATCTTAACATCATTTCAATGCTGCATTACATGAAGTAAATACATTCTTTTATTATGTCAGCACTTCATAACTTGAAGTAAAATATCCATTTTGTTAAGTGATTATGTGTTTACATTGTGTTAAAACTTTATTACGTGAAATGAATGTTTCTTTACATCATTTCATTTCTTTAATATGCGAGGTCAAAATTGCATTACGTCAAGCAAATTCTGTTTTATAATTAAATTTATCATTACATAAAGTCAAAAATCCATTCCTTTTTGAGAGTGTATACTTCTGTTATATCAAAGCATTATTACGTGATATGGATTTATCTTTATTATACGTCGGGAGCATCATGATGTTAGGTGAACACATCTTACCTTCATGTCAGTGCTTTATTACGTGGTGTAAAAAGTGTATAACATAATGTGAACATATCTTTATATCATATCAACACTTTATTACATTATGTCAGAACTCCATTCCGTGATGTGGATATATAATTACGTTATGTCAACCTTTTCTAATGTGATTTATAAACATCTTTACATTGTGTTAACTCTTCATCATGTTGATTCCAAAAGTTCATTACCTGATGTAAAAATACATTTTCATTATCTCAAAGCTGTATATCTGGTATATAATGAATGTTGACGACCGTGTTTTAATGACTGGTAAGAGAAAGGGGGGGGGGGGGGGGGGGGGGGGGCTCCTCATTGATTAGGACGAATTTTAGGCACATAATATCACCCCCCCCTCTTTTCCCATATATAACTTTACTATAGAAAATGTAATGTTCTTGGAAAGCACAGCCCCATCCCCACTTTTTCTTGAAGTATAGTCCACTACAGGTAATGTAGTATACTTGAAGAAAAAAAATTAGGACTGTTTTTTGTTTCGAGTAGAATTTTTTTTTTCTGGCTGACCTCCCCTTTCAAAGAAGATGCTACGTCAATTGAATTAGTAATTTTTTCAACCATTCCAGTGCCAGAATTCTATTACAAAAATCTATATATCAGTCTAAATCAGTTGAATATGCCTTAGCAAGCATGCATGGGCACATATCAGTGACGGATATGGGAATCTTGAACAAGGAAGGGGGACGGTATATGGTTGGAGACCAAAGGGGGGGAGAGAGAGAGAAGCTCTTAGGCTTTATAGTTTTATAGAAAAAAAGTTTTCAACTTAATTCAGCTAATCTTATGCAATGTCCTACAAAGTAAAACCAATAAATTTATTAATCTTATGTATATTTTGGTCACTAAAGATGGAATGACGGGATTCCTGCCCCCAACCCCCAACCCACCGTTGCACGTTTGTTATACGGTGTGTTAACACTTTTTAAAATAAAAAGGAGAGGTAGAGACTGATAAAAACATATGACAATGTTCTTAATAAGATAAGAAGTTTAAGACTTCTATAAAAAAAAAATTCAATATGAAAATAAAAAAAAAATGCTGCTCGACTCATAATATTTGATTTATTTGATTATCAGATTAAAGTAAACGCCATTGAAAGTAATTCACAGTCGCAGTTTGAAGGCTTTGCGCTGCACGTTTCAAGATTGTCAATCATTTGTCGCTTTATGTTTTCATTTAATATGCCATTCCCAAATCGCCGAGAATTTCTTCTATGACTGTTTTCTTTCCCGCCATTTTTAGTGCCTGCATGCGGAAAGCGGAAAATACGTTATGCTCATATAAAGGCCGGGGATACCCGTGTTCGCATAACGTAATAGTGAATCGACATAATGTAGAAGAGTGCGCACAGTATAACATGAGCTTTCCACACCTGATCAATATGAAAAAGCCTAAGATACACGTATTCTGACAAGAGGCTGAGCATTTTTGACACATTGTAAAGATACAATGACATAACGTAATAACGATTTGTTAAAAAGTAAGGGCAAATTCACATCATGAAATTGATTCACGTCGTCATGTTGCATATTGATGACATAAGGTAGTAAAAGAATTGACCTCATGTGATAATTTTTTGACATCATGTAATGAAATTCTGACATCGTATCATAGCGACTTGATATCAAATTAAGATAAATTCACATCATGTAATGAACTACTTAGACCAAATAGTAGAGAATGCACATAATGTAATACTGAGTTGAAATTATATAAATGTATCTTAACACCACGTAAAAATCTTTTGACATAATGTCACAAAGAGCTGATATAATGCAATGAAAGATTGATGCAATATAATTGAAGTGTTAGTAAATGTCATAAGAAAGTTAACATAATGTAAAAGAAAGTTGTCGCAATGTAATAGTAGTGTGTGTAAATGTCATAAAGAGTTGACCTAATGTTATAGAAAGTTGAGATAATGCAATAGTAGTGTTAATAAATGTCACAAAGAGATGACATAATGTAATGGAAGGTTGACGCAATGCAATCGCAGTGTTCTGCTATAAGGCAGTGACGGCGTTCCATACCCCCGTTTTTGACCTTACCACTCCAATGTTGTTCCCCCCCCCCCTGTTTTTGACCTTACCACTCCAATGTTGTTTCCCCACCCCCCCCCCCCCCCCACCCCCTGTTTTTGACCTTACCACTCCAATGTTGTCTTCCCCTACACTGCGTAGTGACACCCCATATTCTGTGTACTGACTGCCCCTGTTCTTCCATGATGGCCTTATCATACATGTGGGCTGTGAACAAAAATTGCTTGTTAAAAATGATTTAAAGAAATACAAATCTTCATTCTGATGTACACATACAAATGAAAAGTTGAAAATACATACAGTCACATTTGGCTGATGTGTATTTTACTGTCAGATACACCCTTTAGCCTGTTATATGTTTTTTCAGTCAATAAATTTACATTATCTTGTGTTATATTTTTTATTCATAAATTAAAATTTGCTTTTCTCCATTCACCACTTACAAAGTTCCTCCTGGGCATGATCAACATGCGGATGATTTTCTCGATACCATTACATATAAAGTAGCCTCCCATCTCCTGTAAAACAGTAAATGAGAGACATAAATAACTATATAAATCAAAGAATTTACACAAATTTCACCTCTATACATATATATCTTTGTATATCTTTCAGAATATTTTTTTCTAGCAACATACAAGTATTGAAGTAATGATATGATCACTATTTTATAAGAAACTAATCGTGTTCCAGACTGGAGTTACTTCCCTTACCTCAGCCTCTTCCCCTCTTCGTACCAAATCTTTGGGACTTAACCCTTTCAGGTTACAAACATCAGACTTCAAAAATAATTTTTTTTCATATAAGACAGTGACGATCATTTAATATGGGTCTTTTATAAGGCTGAGCAATAATACTGATATTCTGATATAATGCCATACTGTACTCTTCAAAAAAAAGAAACGCATAGTAGAATTTTAGTGACACATTGAACATAAAGATGATTTAGTAAAATGATGTATTGATAAAACAGAAATGTGGTTAACAACAGGAATACTATCTAAATGTCATAATTACTCAAGAATTTTAAAATAATAGTCAGTTTAAGGTCATTAAAGATCAATATCTGGTATGCCCCCTGCAGACACAAATAATAGCCAGAAACGGCATCTAATGGAAGCAAATTTGTGTAATGAAAACTGTACAGAAATACTCTCCCACTCCAAATGTAGAGCTTTGGTCAGCTGTTGTAGAGTCTGGGGATGCGATTGTATTTGACAAATCATGTCAATACATTTTGTCCAATGCTGCTTAATTTGGATTAAATCTAGTGATTTAGATGACTGTGTCAGAAACAGGTTGCTGTTGCTTTGCAAGAATGGGGGTATCAAACGAGTGTGATGTGACTGTGTATTGTAAGATTGCAAAATGGCTCTAGGATGAGGCTAAATTGAATAGACATGTGTATGTAGAACATGGTTAGAGTACATGTACCTTTTTCCATCAAAGTCCATTTAATTTGAACCAAATCAATCTTACTTTCTTATGATACCATTTTCCATATCATTACACTACCACCACCAACTTTGTTAACGTCCTGGAGGCAGTTATCTAACATTCATTACAAAGCACCAGCACTCTTAAACAAATAAGAGGCTTTCAGATAAACATTCTGGACTAGTAGCTAAACCAAAATGTTCATCGGTGATGCTGTGGTCATACTCAATTGATCTCAGATCTTTAAAGTCAATATTTGGGGTGTTGTAGGGTTGGAACTATGGCATGAATAATCCTCTTTGCAATAATTCATAGTCAACTGAAATCGGTCTTGTTAGATGATCTGTGCAGTTCAGGGATTGTTAATGCTTTAGATGATGTCATTGCCTTACATTCATGCAAATTACGTAATCCTCTGAAGTGATGCTATGCTGCTGATGTCACACGTAGTCTTCCGTATTTTTTGCGAACACTGGGTGTTCGATGTTAATGGTTTATGTTTTATAGGTTAGACATGGCGCTGTGCATAACATCAAAACCTCTTGCAATTGTAGATTGCGGTGCCCCTGCTTCCAGTCGCCCATTTTCCTTTCTGTGCTATGCAACATTCAGTTGCAGCACTTTTAGGAAGCGTCAATTTTCAGATAAAACCAGATTCAAAATATTTAGACCCCCGCTTTTGAAAGCCCCTTTGTACCTGAAGGAATTGCATCAGAATTCAACAAATGAAAATTCAGATCAAAATTTGGGGGGAAATTTTGCAAAATCAGGTTTTTTTGTCTATGAGACTTGTAGAATAGCTGTAAAGTTAACAATTGCATTAAAAATCAAGCATTTCACTCAAATATATCATATTCATCTTAAAATAAAAGGTATGACAAAACTATCATACATTTTTCAGGGCATTGTTCCTACTATGCGTTTCTTTTTTTGAAGAGTTTATGATAAATAAAATTGTATTCCAACGTGTTTTTTTTCTTGTACCAATAAAGTGGCAAATGTTTGGACTTAGGATTTAAATGGTTTTTTTTAATCCAACCCATACTCTGGCACCAACACATTTCACAATAATGAATCTATTCTTGAAAATTGTTAAAAACTGTTCTTAGTAAGATAATATTCTAAAAAGTTTTACCAGTAACTTGTTTGTCTTCATTATAATGACAGTAAATTATAGAACAAGAGGCCCATGGGCCACATCGCTCACCTGAGAAGCTTTGACCATTCTGTTCTTTTCTAGATTTCCCCCTTGTAATACATATTGTGACCCCACCCTACCCCACTGATCATAATTTCGACAATTTGAAATCTACACTACCACAGGATGCTTCCACATAAGTTTCAGCTTTTCTGGCCCAGTGGTTCTTGAGAAGAAGATTTTCAAAGATTTTTCCTATATATTTCTATGTAAAACTTTGATTCCCCATTGTGGCCCCAACCTACCCCCGGGGGGTCATGATTTGAACACTAGAAGCTACACTACCCCAGGATGCTTCCAAATAAGTTTCAGCTTTTCTGGCCCAGTGGTTCTTGAGAAGAAGATTTTCAAAGATTTTTCCTATATATTTCTATGTAAAACTTTGATTCCCCATTGTGGCCCCGCCCTACCCCCGGGGGGTCATGATTTGAACACTTTAGAAGCTACACTACCCCAGGATGCTTCCAAATAAGTTTCAGCTTTTCTGGCCCAGTGGTTCTTGAGAAGAAGATTTTCAAAGATTTTTCCTATATATTTCTATGTAAAACTTTGATTCCCCATTGTGGCCCCGCCCTACCGCTGGGGGTCATGATTTGAACAATTTAGAAACTACACTACCCAAGGATGCTTCCACATAAGTTTCAGCTTTTCTGGCCCAGTGGTTCTTGAGAAGAAGATTTTTAAAGATTTTTCCTATATATTTCTATTTAAAACTTTGATTCCCCATTGTGGCACCGCCCAACCCCCGGGGGTCATGATTTGAACAATTTAGAAACTACACTACCCCAGGATGCTTCCAAATAAGTTTCAGCTTTTCTGGCCCAGTGGTTCTTGAGAAGAAGATTTTTATAGATTTTTCCTATATATTTCTATGTAAAACTTTGATTCCCCGTTGTGGCCCCGCCCAAACCCCGGGGGTCATGATTTGAACAATTTAGAATGTATACTACCTCAGGATGCTTCCATATAAGTTTCAGCTTTTCTGGCCCAGTGGTTCTTGAGAAGAAGATTTTTTAATGATCCCACCCTATTTTTGTCTTTTTCTTGATTATCTCCCCTTGTGAAGGGACTTGGCCCTTCATTTTAACAATTTAAATTCCCCTTCAACCAAGGATGCTTTGTACTAAGTTTGGTCAAAATTGGCCCAGTGGTTCTTAAGAAGAAGTCGAAAATGTGAAAAGTTTACGGACGGACAGACGGACAGTTAGACGGACAGATGACGGACAAAATGTGATCAGAAAAGCTCACTTGAGCCTTCGGTTCAGGTGAGATAATAAAACTGGTACTCATGTACATTTTACAGTGTATTCCTAGTTGTATAAAGTCAAACTGTACATTTAGACTCTGACCTTGACCATCACTGGGACGTCCGCGATCTTTCTCTCCACCGTGTCCTGGACTCGTCCATTCAGCTTCCATAGCATACCAATGTTAAGGCTCCCTAAGTAGGAGGTGCCTCGCTCTCGACACTGAAATTATCAGACACCACACTGAAGTATTTAGAAAAATAATCACTCAGGCTCACTAAGTAGGGGGTGCCTCTCTCTCGACACTGAAATTATCAGACACCACACTGAAGTATTGATAAATAATCACACAGACTCCCTAAGTAGGAGGTGCCTCTCTCCCGACACTGAAATTACCCAAAGATGAACATCTACAGTGTACAGGTATAAGAATATAAAAGTTTTTTTTTTCTTTGATGACAGTCTTTCTCTATTAAAATATATATAACCATTCATTTTCATTTATATCTATCATTCTTTATGGAAGACTAATTAACTTAAATTCTGATCTTTATTTTTTACATAAGAATAATTCTGAGATCAAATAAGAATGGTTGTGTGCATCAGAAACCAACCTCCGCTGGGTAGACTTTTAACGTCTGAGCAAATTTGTTGCCAGAATCCACTGTTGGACACGATATTGTGGCATCCTACCAAAATAAATGTTATATGTATTAAAATCATGCCATATTATACTTTTTACATTACATAAATGTAAAAAAAACCAGAAGTCTCTGTCGAGACTGTAGCTCTACTGGTTTGTACTTATAACAAAGGATGAGAAAAGAAGCCATTGCCATCAGACCAAAACTGTAGGATGACTAGCGTTTTAAAGGAATTTCAAAGAAAATTCAATTTTGAGTAACCATGGCAACATCGTTCATCGAAAGTAAAATCCAATGCACTATTTTATATATCTTAGTATAGTCTACTTGTGTGCCAGGTAATATTGAAATCAAATCAAAACTGTAGGAGGAGTAGCATTTTAAAGGAATTTCAAAGAAAATTCTATTATTAGTAACCATGGCAACACTGTTCATCGAAATCAAAAACCAATGCACTATTTAATGTATCTTAGTATAGTCTACTTGTGTGCCAAGTAATATTGAAATCAAATCAAAACTGTAGGAGGAGTAGCATTTTAAAGGAATTTCAAAGAAAATTCTATTTTTAGTAACCATGGCAACACCGTTCATCGAAATCAAAAACCGATGCACTATTTTATGTATCTTAGTGTAGTCTACTTGTGTGCCAAGTAATATGGAAATCAAATCAAAACTGTAGGAGGAGTAGCGTTTTAAAGGAATTTCAAAGAAAATTCTATTTTTAGTAACCATAGCAACACCGTTCATCGAAATCAAAAACCGATGCACTATTTTATGTATCTTAGTGTAGTCTACTTGTGTGCCAAGTTATATTGAAACCAGACCAAAACTGTAGGAGGAGTAGCGTTTTGAAAAATTGTTTACAGACGGACAGACAGACAGACGGACGGACGACGGACACCTTACTATCGCATAAGCTCTTCTGGTCTCTGACCAGTAGAGCTAAAAATCAGAAGAATAATGCAACCCATCCCCATCCACCCTGTTTTATCAAAATCTTACCAGCATTTTAAGTGTGACCCGGTCTCCATTTGGCAAGGCAAACTCCACAAGTGGAATCGTCTAAAATGAGAAAATTTTTATTTCTGTATTTTTAAATAATGTCAAAGATAAATATGCAAACTGAAAAAAACGTATGGAGAACATCTTGCTGTATGCACAGTACTTTAATTACTAATTACTTTAATTAATATGTGTACTAATATTCAGGAATATGTAAAGTCTTCACTTTCGTATGTAACATTTATTTCTGCAATATGCAAAACTATGTATTTTCTAACCTTCTCATCATAAAAAGCTTGTGTATCCATCTTTATATTAAAATGAGCCAAATACATAATTAATGAGATAAAGGAATTCATACATACCTGTACTGCTCTAGTTAATCCCCCATGTACCAGAGCATTGAATGAATCTATGTGGGGTTTTGTTAGGTCTTGAAGTGGCTGAAGTTTAAATAAAACAATTTCAGTACACATCATGTACAAGCTGGGCTATCAAAAAGTTCGTGGACTAGCGCCATCAAATTAAAACTGCATTTGACACATCAATGAATTTTAAAATATTTAGTTATCATCATTTTTTCTATCTATAGAATAAACCACAAATCATAAATGTTATTTTTAAATAAGTTAGTAAAGTTTTTGTAAGCAATGGTATGTCCAGGCAGGGCAACCTCCAAAGCAACGTTTTTTCGGCCTAAGTGTAACTAGGGCTAATTGTAACGGAGACCGTTACAGATGTTCCCCAAACGCTCCCCAACTCCCTTTTGGTGCCATATTCCCTGTAAGCTCTATTAAATAAGACATACTTTATGCAATTTAGACTTAAACATCGTTTTTCCAGAAGAATACAATATATATTTAAATTTTAGCATTGCACGCGTGCTCATCTGAATGCATGTGCGTAATGACCATATCATCTTGTCTACACTATCTATGTATTTTGATATACTTTATTTCAAAGCATTTAATCCAAAAGTATTAAAAATATACTTTCAAACGTATTTTTAATTCTACTCATTTCCCGTGCACGCACGTGCAAGCATGTGCATGATGACCATACCGTCTTGTAGGAGTTTATTATGTCTATCTATATTCTAAATCCCATCCTGTCTGGTTGGAAAACAAGGAAGTTATAACCATTTTAAGTTTAAGCCAATCAGATTGCAGCACACGTGCATGCGCGTATTCTCATGACAATTCTTATATATCATATATTGTAGGACATCCTAAAGTATGCCTATGTTTTAAATTTCATAGCATTTAGTCAAAAAACAAAAAAGATATTGAAATTTTTGTTTCAGCCAATCACAGCAAAGAGCACGTGCACGCACTTGCATGCATGTGCATGTGGACCATACCTTCTTGTAAGAGTCCATTATGTCTGTCTATGTTCTAAATCCCATCCTGTTTTTATGGAAATCAAAGGACTTATAGCCATTTAAAGTTTAAGCCAATCAGATTGCAGTGCACGTGCATGCACATGTTTTCATGACAATTGTTACATATCATATTGTAGGACATCCTAAAGTATGCATGTATTTTAAATTTCATTGCATTTCGTCAAAAAACAGTTAAGATATTGAGATATTTGTTTCAGCCAATCAGAGAGAAGCGCACGTGCATGCGCGTGAGTTCGTGCTAATTTGACACTGTCATATAAAATACACTATTAATATATCCTTACATAATGAGTTTCAAAGAATTTCATCAAAAAATGTAAAAGTTATGGCTATATTAAATATATCAGTCATTTCACGTGTTGCACGTGCGCGCTCTGGCAAGCACGTGCGCGCAAAATGACCTTGATTCTGCAAATCTACTTAACATGTCTACTTACCCTAAGAAGATTTTACCTACATCAGATGAACAGTTTACAAGATCATTCGCGGACAAATAAGTACCCAGGAAGAAGAAAAATAATAATAAGAAACAGAGTAAAAACAATATGTTCCCCAACTTCGTTTGGGGAACATAACTAAGATAAACTATTTTGATCTGAACATTTGACATCCAAAAATCCTGTTAATTCAGATATATGCTGGGACACTATTGTTCAATAAAATTTGGAATTTTTACCTCATTCTGGAAGTTCTATGAAATTTTACTTTAAAGTTTACATGGAATAGCCAAACAAATATTACCTTGAAAATGGCGTTAAAAGGGGGGAGGGGTTTCATTTTCCAACATTCTATAAAGTTTTGTCCCTGGAAAAACTGTTATAAAACTGGAAATGTTTAAACTGGCTATGGAGAAAAAAATTGCATCCAGATTACATGTTTTTAATGCCAAAATAGATTCAGAGAGAAAAGGGATGCAAAATTAATGTTGAATTGTTATCAAGGTTCGAAAAATCTATCACGTCAAATAATGAGGTTTATCATGTGTTAGCTATATTGAAGTCCAAAAAACAAAATATGCTGGCACAATCAAGCGTAGATCTCTCCCAATGTATAAATCCATTTGCAATGATATATGCATTGAAAGCTGCTGTTCACTGATGACATTGTTAAATCATAAAAACAAGACGGGTTGAAGTCCTTACTCAGCTCAAGGGATTCTCATCAAAATAAGTGCACGAGATAGAAGAAGCGGACATTGAAAAATGATGTTGTCTGACATCATGAAACTAAGCGGTGCTGGCGCCAGGTGATCAAATGATGTCGTTTTTGTTTTATAATAATTTGGGAAATAATGAACATATCAAGCTAAAATTTCAACTTTTCTTTATTTTTTGTTGTTTTATGTTCCTTATAAATTTTGTATGCTCAGACAACATAGTACAGTTAATTCTCGATAAACCATCACCTTTTGTAATTTAGAAAACATGGCGGTATAACAATTTTGTAGATGAATTGAATTTTCCATCTTTTAGGAAAGAAGAAGTTACTGTTCTTAGAAATACCATTTAGCATTTCTATTCTTATTATTACATGTACATGTATAATATAAAAACATATTTCTAAATTTGAAATACTTTTTTTATGTACCATTTCGCTAAAACAAAATGTGCAGTTATGAAATAAAGACAAGTACATGTGTTTGCATGTAAATGTGCATGTCTGATATTGAAAAAAAAAACCATGTTGCATCTATCATCATTGATCATCGTGATATATTGCCGATGGTATGTACATGTAAAATGAATTCTTGAATAAATTCATTGTTTATGGCATCATTGTTAATGTTGATCATCAAAATAATATCGTTATCGGTGTACTTAAACAACGACCGCTTTCGTGGCAAAGCCGTGACTAAATGATTTTTATTAAACAGGAAACAAAATCATTGTAAAGGTTCATATTGACATTATTGTTTATTTAATTCTTATTTAATTGCATGTACCTTGTCTGGCTTTAATGCATGCTTTACAACAGGGATATCGTCAACCAATTAGCCGCAGTTCTCCGACCACATGCACCTGTGGCGGTTTATCGAGAAAATTGACACTTAAAAATGGATGTTTGTTATGAAAACAGGGTGGCGGATGGCGGTATGCTACTCTGGCGTTATAAAGAGAATTTTATATAGCAGGAAAAACGTTCTTTGGAAATCATGGTGGTATTGCGAAAATGGCGATGAATCGAATGGCGATAATTCGAGAATTGACTGTACTAATTTTATAGCCTCAGTCAACGAACTTTTTGATAACCCCTCGTACATGTATTATCAATTTCTTTCAAAAATGACAAGTTTCACTTGCGCTGTAAGGTATAGCAATAACATCTTGGTGAAGAGAACATGAGGATTACTGGCATATACTGTCAATTGATTCATAAGAAACTGTTTCTGAGTAACCTTTGGACATGACTCATAAATAACTTGGTTCTCAAAGTGACTACAAAAGTTCACATAAAAATTAGCTGCAGAACTGTAGCGTTATAGTTTTATATACTGTACATGCACTTGTCTTCAGCCATAACGCTACAGATCCCGTAATGCAAAAAATGTGCAATTTACAGCACGATTTTTTTCCCACTGTTTGGTAGAATATTTCTCCACTTTCCCTCATTAGTAAATCATCTACCTTTCACTCCCTATAATTCTAGACACATTATTTAACCAATCTGTATATTTTATCCATCTCCCAACCCTTTAATCATTTCTACAAGCGATACAAAAGCTTGATTTGAATTGTCTGATGGATTGCAGAAAATTCAAATTCAAGCGAGTTTATTGCTTGTAGAGACGGATTTAAAGGTTTGTGATCATGAAATGTGTATCAAAATAGTAAAAAGTTGCACTGAAGTATATTTAAAATCTTATGGGGTAATTCTAGCTACGTAGCTAAACTTACTGACTGTAGGCCATTGAACCTGTCTTATTTTCTTTAGAGAAGTCAAGGAAGTAGGCGAAAGCCTTCCACTTCTCTAAAGAGAATAAACCTGTCTGTGTCTAAAATCACCCTGACATCTTCTCTCGTCAGATAAAATCCATGGACGATGAAGTGGACAGCGACTTTTCTTCGCTGAAATGAATGTCACACCTACCTGATGTTGTTTAGGATTTAATCTTCCATATTTCTTCCCTGTTAAGTTCTTCAGAGAAGGTTCTCTCAAGTCTGTTGACATTTTGACTCCCGCACGTGTATTTTTCTAAATCATAATCTAATGGTAACTTATTTGTCTCTCGATAATGTCGCACATTTCAAACGTTTTAGCGATGCTGTTTTACTTAATCCTAGATACTAAAACTGTTCAGCGAAAAATGTTGTTTTCCGGATAAGTAAGTCATAACGCTTTATGAAAGTATGAAAACACATAAAAGATATTAAACCAAGAATAAATCACATTTTTAAAAAACTTGTTTCTAAATTTGTTTGAATGCCTTTTCCTTATTGGAATACATAGTGGGAATTTTCAAAAGAAAGAGGGCGTATAAGGCGTGGACAATCCCCCGCTCTGAGACAATATGTTTCTCATTTTTCAAAATTCAAGGAAAAGTTATATTTTTCTAAAATTATGTTCTCAAAAATGTCATCTTCAAAATATTTAATTAATTTTTTTTACTGAACGACTTATCATTTGACAATCTTTTCTCAAAAGTTGACAGTTAAGCATATTTAGTGGAAAATGGTTTTGAAAATGGGTTTACTATATACATGTAGAGCTATAAAAATGAATTTTGAACATGAATGGGTCAAGTCTCCATTCTTCGTTAATGCTTAAATGATGGAAAGGTAAATGTGAAATCTATTTCATTTGTCAAAAAAAAAAATGGAATCTGAACCCATTCTATATGAAAAACGAAAATTTCTGAAAAAATGTATGCTTCAACAAACCCGTTCATTTAAATCACACCGACAGACGTTGATAATGCATACTTTGTAGCGTAGTGGTTGAAGCGGTCAGTCTTGGACCAAACCCTGCACTATGGAAAGAGTTCAAATCATACGCGAAGCTCTTTCTTTTTTTGTTTTCACATATCTTAAAAACGAGTGAAAAATAAATTATTAATAGAATATTAAAACAATGAAATACAGAATTAAATATGTAAAAGATGATATAAACTATCTAATTTTGAAAAAATATAACTTTTAGAATTGAGAAATGTCTTTTCTCAGAGCGGGGGATTGTCCTCGCCTTGTACGCCTCCATTCTTTCTTATCTTTCACAGACCATTTTCTGTAGTATAAAACATTAAATATTGCAGACACCGCTCTCTCTGTCTCTCTCTCTCTTAGCTGATCCAAAAAGGGGTTCAACCCCTTAACCCCGGTGCCCCTCTAAATAGATCCGCCAACTGGTTTCCTGATCAGTTCTGTATGGAAAGAAGAACCTGGTTTCACACGTGTACTGTTTTTTCTCTCTTTTATTTACACGTGTACTGTTGTCGGAATATGTATGTGTAATATATTATATAGCGTCTGTGTAGTATACTCTTTAAAAATTACTCAGCTCTTATGGATAATAAAGCTGCTTTTCTTAGTTGAAATAAAAAAGAAATCTGCCCGACTTCGAAAATTCTACTTCCTGCGGAGGGGGGGGGCTCATAAAAGCAGGTTAAAATAATTATTTTAAATATATATTCTCATAACAAAAGAGCTTTCTACGCAGTTATAAGTGTAATGTAAAGATATCTATCGTCTGTATAGCTATCCCAATAGTCTGTCCTAATAATAATACATGTACGTTTCAATAATTTGATATAAACTGATAATTATAATTTTGACTTGTCTTTTAAATAGAAACGATCGAATCGCTTACACAAAGTTCAAACAACAATTGTGATTGGTATGAGATTACATATGTAATTGAAGGTAAGATATTTTGTATTTCACTCCAGACAGACAACCAAAGAAAAAACCCAGACAATATGATTTTCCACGTCTTCATCAAAATATAATACTAGTATACAGGTCTCATTTCATATCCTCTTTATTTCTTACATTTTTTCATTCATATTTACCTCACCAAACGAGTAGGAAGTTAAAATATTTCTTGATTGCTTTAAACTTTTTTCATACAACCCTATTTTTATAAATCCTTATAAAAAAATGTTATCAAATAATTATAATATCATATATAGCAAACAAACAAAATTTACACACAAAATATCGATGTATGGATATCGATATGGAGGAATCCTTTATGGAAATAAAAGACTGTACTTTTGTGTCATACTAGTTTAGAGACTATACACTAATCGACTTATAGAGTTCATCAACGTCTTTGACACAAATGTTCAGTGTGACACACTTCTACATAAAATGAGATAAAGCAGTAATCCCCACGTGATGTCTATGGAGAAATAGTATTGTCATATTGGCAAAAAATTTCAAAAGAAAAAAAAAGTTTACTGCCATATTCTTCGTAAGCTATGTAGGCGTTTAAATAATACACAATTTTAATTATGTATTTCTTGCCTACATAAAGCATTTGAAAATTAAAAAAAAAAATAAATAAAAATAAAAGAAAATAGAAGAAAACAAACTAAAATAAATATAACATATTTACTAACTTTTGTGACACAGGTACTTGTGGACAGGATCCCCCCCCCCCCCTGGTCAAAATATTTTTTTTTCTCATGAATTATGTTTCTAGTACTTATTTACATTGTGTTCCATATGAAAAATCCAAAAAATAGCATAGAATTAACGATTTACTAAAAAAGTCATACCCCTGGTATTTTTGACCAGGGGTGTATGGGGGGGGGGGGTGTTCCTGTCCACAAGTACCTGTGTTTTGTGATATACAGATTGAATTAGAAGCTTCCGGGTTTACATATGCAAGTCAATATTTATATGCATACTTTCAAAAGCCTAAACTCTACTTTTCAAATACAGAAATTATAATTTATTTCACGTACAGAAAATTAAGCCCTTTTAACTCACCAATTTTAATAATATTCACTATGTTAAAAATCATAATTTTTATTTGATAGTATTCATGTGAATAAATTAACCAGGGACAAATTTTATCAATTGAGAAAAAAAATTCTCTAGCTTGAAAAATTGCACCAACTCTCCACCTTAAATATTGTTCATATTATAATTGTGATAATCATCTCACTTAGTAGTACTTAGCGAAAAAAAGGTGAGTATACTCTCTCTCTCTCGTTAACTGCTATTTAAGTTGGCAATCTATTCATACTTTCTATATGCTAATCCATAGAAGCCAAAAATGTCTTTGTTCAAATTTTCAACAAACCCTTTCAAATCTAATGTGTAAAAAAGAAGATTTTAAAGCGCCAAGACTGTATTTCTTCCTATGGTTTTTAAAGTACCAAAACATATATACATTTAATTTAACATTTCAAAGATATATAGTTACATGATTCCATCTGAAAATGCATGTAATGCTTGCATATATTATCTTGATTATGCATGAGTATATTCATGCAATGTTTGCAAGCGAATATATTTATCAATTCGATTATATAACATGTATAGTGGCAATTAAATTGTCAAGGTCTGTGACGTCCCATTGGACTATGGACTATTATGCTATCTGTTATAATGATGTTATCATTCGATTGATGTGAAAAAAAATACGTACAAACGTACATTATTACTAGTATATGGAACTGATTTATACATGTATCATTACACCAGTTTTAGCTGCAGATCTGTAGCGTTATGGTTTTAGAAATTACATATTTGTCTTTGACCAGAACGTTACAGATCTCGAAATGCAAAAAAGGTGCAATTTACGGCGCAATATTTTTTGCGCACTTTTGGGGAGAATTTCTCCACTTTCCAGCATCGGTCAATCAATTACCTTTCACTCCCTAATTCTAGACACATTCTGTAGCCAATATGTATATTTTATCCACCTCCCAACCATTTATAGCTGTCTCAACAGGCAATAAACTCGCTTGAAGTTAATTTTCAGCAATCTAACAAATAATTATAATCAAGCGAGTTTATCACTTGTAGAGACGACTATAAAGGGTTGGGAGATGGATAAAATATACAGATTAGTTAGATATAATGTGCCTAGAATTTGGGCTTGAAAGGTAGTTATTGACCGATGCTGGAAGAGGAAAAATTCTCACCAGAAGTGCGCAAAAAAATATTGCGCCGTAAATTGCACCTTTTTTGCATTACGAGATCTGTAGCGTTATGGTCAAAGACAAATATATTAAAACATAACGCTACACATCTGCAGCTACACCAGTTTAAGGGTGGTTCCAGGGTTCCAGGGTGCTTGAATTAAGGGGGATGTACGGCAACCTTTAGTGCAGTGAGAAAGAAATGTAAACATTTCTTCTAATGGCTAAAATACATTATATTTTGATCAAATTTTAAGTCTTTATGATAAAGATACAATAAATATGCATAACTGAATGCATGTTGTGCATATATAATCTATACTTTTGCAGAAAAATGCTTTTGAAATGCTACTTAGAACTGCGCAGCTACAGAATTCAGCAAAGCCTTAAAAAATCCAAAAAAATATGCAAACTGTGCATTAATGTTCTCTCTACAACCATTTGTTGAGAAAATGTCTAAATTTTGCACTTTTTAATGATAATTTCAAGTTCAAAACAAGGTACCGTTGTCTTCAAAAAGAGTGCAAAGAACCATGAAAGTAGTTCATGGATAGCAGCACGTGGTCTATTTTTAGCACAGAAATTTGTTTTCCAGACCTCTTCTTAAAATGGAAGGACATAACAATCTTAAATGTAGAAGAGAATTACAGTTGCAAAATATTTCAAATATTACGAAGACTTTTAAAAGAGGAAAGGTGTTATAGTGTGGCTTGAAGTAATTTATTTAGTATTATTATCGAACAGTTGTTAAATAGTGTCCGTATTGCTATAAAAAAAATCTTAAACTCTTTGACTCCAGGTAAAGAAAACTGAGCACCATCAAAGTTAAAAATTAAGAGTTTGTAAGTTTGCCATAGATAACTTATATTATCTATCAAAATTTTAATTATCACCAATGAAACACAAAGAAATAAGACACATATAATCGATATGAATGACCTTATTTAATACTTACTAGTACCAGGGGTGATCAAAAAGTTCGAACTATCTCTATATCTACAAAACCACAATTCAGATTAGAAACATAGCCAAACACAAGTTCTATAAATAGCATATGCTGAAGTCTTGCTCCTTGTTTGTTATGTCACAATCTGAAAATGACGTCATGCATGTACTTGTGACGAAAATTCTATTTGCCCATATTGTCAAAATTAA